AATTAAAATAAGTTTTAAATAAAAAGGTCTTAGCCTGGCACCGAAAAGCAAATAACGACGGCACCAGGCGGACCTCCCTGGGGAGCGCATTCCATAAATGGGGTGCCACCGCCGAGAAAGCCCTCCTCCGAGTACCTACCCTCCTAATTTCCTTCACGGAGGGTTCCCGGAGAAGGGCATCTGCTGCTGACCTCAAAGGGCAGGAGGGCATATATGGGAGTAAGCGTTCCTTTAAGTATCCAGGTCCCAAGCCATTTAGGGCTTTATAGGTCATAACCAACACCTTGAATTGGGCCCGGACTTCAATCGGGAGCCAGTGGAGCTGACGGAGAACTGGGGTTATATGAGAACAACGCCCAGTCCCCGTCAGCAACCTGGCAGCTCTGTTCTGCACCAATTGAAGTATCCGGACCGTCTTCAAGGGTAGCCCCACGTAGAGCGCGTTACAGAAATCTAATCGGGAAGTTACCAGCGTGTGTGTCACTGTCGCCAGGCAGTCATTCTCTAGGAAGAGACGCAGCTGATGGATCAGCCGAAGCTGAAGGAAGGCGCTCCTCGCCACCGCCGTCACCTGGGCTTCCAGAGACAGCTCCGGGTCGAGGAGCACTCCTAAGCTGCGAACTCCTAAGCTGCGAATTTGCATACATTTCTGGTGAAAAGCAAAACTTTTCACATTTCCACCATTGAAAATCCAGCTTGCGGTTTTCAGTGGAGGTGATTCAGACAGCCAAGACTTGAAAGGTATGCCTGCCTCTGAGGAGGTGGAGGAGGAGGAGGAGGAGATGCTGCACCACTTCAAGAGGACTTGTGCCCAAAGACTGCAGTCCTCTGCCTGGCTACCTGCACATCTCTTTCAAGAGTCCATCGCGATTTCCATGGAGAACTGGGCTGGAGTTAAACACCACCCTGGCAGAGCCTACAGCTTCACAAGAACTCTACTTTCCTCTTAGTTACAAGCACCATTATGCCACTTTCTACACTGCCATTCCTTCTGCCATTTCTACTGGAAATGGGAATTCATTCAAAGGTCTAAATGCTGGAACAGATAGTACCAACAAAACGGATGTATCCTCCTCCCCTGCAAGCCCTCCCCCCGCAACCCTTAAATCGGATCCAGAAGATCAGGGCATCCTCTGCAGCAGATTTGGAGGCGGCACATGGAGGGCTGCAGGGGGCAGGAGGGCAAGGAAAAGCCTGTCATGCTGGACTGAACCAACGCACCACCATTCTAGTGAAAATATTTGAAAATATGCACCCTTTCAAAGCTCTTCAAGTACCCAGAATATGAATATTGAGGAGTGTTGGCTCATTTTGCCTAGGCACTGCCTATTTTAATTGGCATCTGCTCCCCAGAATGAAACACAGAGGTCTATTGCTATTTGGAACCCTGGAGAAGCCAGGCATACAAAACACGTGCTCTGGAATCAAGCTGCACCCACCCCCAGTATGTGCGTCACCTGCACCGAATTGGGTAAGCAGGCGTTCAGGGGGTGTGCGTCCATATAAGACAGCAACCCTTCAAAAACAGCTGAGGGCTGCCCCCATCACTAGCAGTCACTAGCAGCCTGACTTCCTCTCAGTGCTTCCAAAATCTCACTGACAGAATCAGCTGGGCATCATTTCAAATTCAAGCGATGCTTATGATGAACCCCAGTTTATCTCAGGTCAAGTTTAGAACTTCAGAGTTCACAACAACAAGAGTTCAAAATGTGGGTTCTGCTGATATTTCCTACTCTTACTAAAACTGATGAGTAAATCGATAGAATTATGATCAATTAATAAGCCTCAATTGCATAATTATAAATGATTAATAAATTAAATGTTGAGAAACCAAAATAGAACCAGCAAATAATTTCAAATATACTTTGAAAACAAAATCTGCTCAACATTTTTGTATACCAGATAAGTACATGCTTAAGGCTGCCATCTTAAGCAGTGTGATCAGGGTTCAAGTCCTGGCACACCTCCAGATTGTAAGTTATGTACAAGATGAAGCAACCATATCACATACCTGCCCAGGCGTAAGAGCCTTTGTTGGCTTGGCCATTGTTACCCATACCGTCCCGTCCTGATTTAGAGTTAATGTACACGGCACTAAAAACAAAACAAAACAGTTTTAGCAGCTGGGTTACCTTCTCATCCAAATCAGGTCACTGGTCTATGTTCACTCTTTCTGAGAAACACAAAATAGCTTTACCATAGAAGAATTACACTACCAAAAATTTAAAACAGCAAAATTTTAAAAAGTCTGGTCACCTAGTGCCATCTGGTGGTAGAAGCGGAAATTACATTCCATCATTTTGTCCCGAATCAGCTCTGCCGGGGGCTCCTCCGCAATCCAGTGCACTCTGTTTGTCCGCAGGAGATTTCTGTGAAGTGCAGGGTGATCTGCAGAGGGTGCCTTAAGGTGGACACAACAACTTTAATGTACAGTGTAGCATAGCAGATCATTAAAAAATTAAAACAGAGGGAAAAGTGAACTGGTTTAACTTGGGGGTGGGGGAGGTGTGGTCCTTGGGATGCTGCAGCTCTCAGAATCACTCACAATTGGTTAGGGGGGATGGCAGTTGCGGTCCCACAATGTACGGTGGCCACACATTCTCCAACAATCAAACTTGACATCTCCAGTGAGTAAATCATTGCTAAGGCAGTTTTCTCCATCTTTCCATCCTCCCCTCGAGCATGTCTACTGGGTGTCCCTATCTTTGCTTTCCAGAGGAGGGGCAAGTCTCAGTTAAGCAAGCTAAATCACACCAGCCCCGCTGGGTAAATAGGAAAACTGGAGCAATGCGGTTGGCCTTGACCCCAAACCTGAGTTGCACCTTCTATGCCTACCAGTGTCACCATCAGGGCTGTGGAGCCAGAGCAGGAAGCAATTCTTGGGTGACTGAGTCAGAGTTGGAGTCTGTAAAAATGTACCAACTCCAACTCCTCGTACATTTCAATTGTAATATAAATAATATGTTAACATTACCTATTTCACAAATAACAATTTAAGTGACTTATTTTTTCAGGTTACATTTTCGGGATATGTTTTAATTTCATACATTAATGAAAGCGGCACCCCATGAAAAAATTTGCAATGGCAAAAAAGTGCCAACCAAGTTGGCTGTTTTTGAAAACTTTACAACAGATGGGAAATATTGTGTGTGTCAATGTAGTGTACAAGAAGATGATTGTGAAAAAGCCTTCTAGATTGTGAGAAATGCCTTCTAGGTGGAGGTCTTTCAATCAATATGGGAAATAAATGATTAGTATGGGCCCCTTTCCTTGCCACAGTTTTCCTTTCCGCATGAGTTAGGGCTACTGCAATTAAGATTAATTATAGTTAAATGTTATGCCCGGGCTGGACAAACATTGTTTAGAACAGATGCAATAAAATATTTGGATAAGGCTAATCTATATTAGTTCTAGGGTGGAGTTCAGTGGCTTTGGAATAAGAAAACTGCATGGCAATTTCTTTCCATGCTTACCACTTACTAAGCTATTCAATGCCAACAGTGTGTTCCATTTTCTGTTAATCAAATGCTGGTTTTAACTAAATGTAATCAAATTTCTTGACACCAGCGTACTTAACAGCTTTTGTTTCTCTTTTGGAGGCAAAAGCCAACAATCTAAGAGCAGTAATAACGACACTTTTTTTGGCAGGAACCACAAGCACTGGAAGCAAAAGCAAACTTACCACAAAGACATCTCCAGAGGCTGTATTTTTATCAACAACAAAACAAGCATATCTGAGGCCTGCTATCCGGGCTCTCTGGCCAACCGTATACAAGAAACAACCTAAAAAGTAATAGTAGGTTTTAAATAAACGCATTGTTAATACAGCTTAAGCCTTTTATTCCACCAGAAATCGCCATCTTCCATTTGTCTCCTCTCAAAAGAGAACAGCATTCTTAAGATGAAAGCATTGTTTCTGAGTTTCTGAATAAGGAACTTACCATGGTTAATAAGGATCTTATCCATCCATTCATTTTTTTAATGACAAACAGTCAAGCCTTTGTCACTACCTGTGGAAGATATTAAATCTCCTTTTCTTAAAAGCAAAGCTGACAACTGTCTGCCACACCAGCTCCTAATGGCAGCCCCTAAATGCGCCTTTACACATTGCATGGCCTAAGCTAATCTTGCCTGGCCTGCTGCCCTCCAGAGGCATCAGGCTACAAGTCCCCATCCCCTCCGGCCCCCACAGCTGGGGAAGGCTGAGCTCGGATGTGGAGCAAGCTCTTCTCCAGGTCTTCAAAATACAACTCATCAAGAGCAGCAGCTGAATATGAAACAGTACATAAGCAGCAACCCAAGTGTCAGGGCTGCTTGGAGCCTCTTTTGTGAAAGGGCTGTAATTTTCTGAGGATTTTGCTATCTTTCAAGCGGGAAAAGAAGTCCACGGTTACTGTGAAGGTAATTCCAACCACATGGCAACATTTCTTAAGAAGAAATCTGTCGATGTTTTGACTCGGAGTGTAAAATCTGAATCTGCTAAGACCACCAGTGTGTAGGCCTTGTCAACTTAAGTAAGATGGTAGTGAGTATATTGCAGCAATCCGTGTGTCTTTGTTGCATTCTCCTACAGAATGGCTCTGAGGGATCACATGGAAACATATTCTAAAGAGGCTTTGCCCAACCTAGCACCCCTGACTCCCAGACACACCCCCCGCCCCCAGCCAGCTATTCCCCCGGACATCTGGAAGCACATCAGGCTGGGGAAGGCTACACTGCAGCCTCTGATGGAACTAACCTTCCAAACAGAAAAGAAATCCACCTTCAGTAGGTCTTATTAGTATGCTAGCAGATTTCCTATTAAGACTTAACTGCTAAGAAGGGGAGAGATCCAACTCATACTGATAAGCTATATTTAGTGTGAGGCTGAGCAGAAAGCAGGTATGAATCTACTGGTAGATCTGTTTGATTCACAGCAGATAAGCTGGATTTCTGACTCCACCAGATTAACAGCAGCAGCAACCTCCTCACTGCCAGCCTAAATTATACACTGCTGAATTGAAGAGATCCTGAGAAAACAGCAGTAGATTTGTGTGTAGAAGGGCTGCGATCCCTTCAGTCCTGGTCCTCAAAACTATTTTTCTGTGTTCAGAATTCTTGAATTCTAAAAGCAAGGGGGCATATTAATTTTGTTTTCTTTTTCACTTTAGAGTAAGCACAGGGCTCCCAATTCAGAGGAAGACTCTGGTGTGCAGGGTGGTGATAACTTTAACCCTTTCCCTTCACTGCAGTCCTGACCATACATGTGCTTGAACTAATCATTAACCGGCGATATACATTGCAAGCACAGGGCCCCAGTCCTAATTGGAACTGCCGCAGGAAAGGAGAGAGGGTTAAAACTCCCTCTCATCCACATCAAAGTCCCAAATCCAGACTGTGAGCCCCGTGCTTACTCAAGAGTAAAGCAGACAGAGCTGCTAGCCAAGTCTTCAACGTAACGGGTGCAGCATCTGAGTTTACGTCTCTCACACCAGGCACTGGTGACTGGATCTTGCCATTCTGGTAAAAAGCAAAGTAGATTTCACAAGCCTGAAGTCTTCCTGCTCCTGGCTTTAAGGAAGCTGCTTAAAGCAGCTTCCTTAAAGCCACCTAATAAGTTCAAAGCAGAGGTGAGCTCTACAGATGAAACACCTGGTTCATAGCTTATACTCTTAACTGTTGTAATGCATCAAAGTCTACAGGTGTGAGCAATTTAGGATAGCAGCCAAACCTATAGATCAAATTATATGTAGTGGCAATGCCAATAAACATGTTAATGTTAAGGTCACATGTTTGATTTTTCTTAAGTCTTAGATCCCAAAACAGCACCGTGTTTTGCCATTGAACAGAGAGGGCACTGCTTCCTGATAAAGATGTGGCCACTCTTGCAAACTGGATGGAGACTACTGGGAGTTGCTGGACTTCTTCTCTGCCTAAACATGCATAGCATTGCACCCTGAATCACAGCAGACTGCCTGACCAGAGACCCCCTACCCGAAAGAGCAGGTGCCGTTCCCCAGATCTATGTGGAATCTGGCCCAGAGCCTTCACGGAGTCAACAAGAAAGGCATAGCAACGCTAGCCAGTGCAATCTCCCCGCTTCAGCCAAGCTCCAAACTGCTGAAGGCCAACCTCCAGCAGAGCTCTTGTTACACTCCCGCTCTTTCTGCAAACCATTCTCCTTTTACATGTCTGGTCTAATTTCCAGCATTAACAGATTCCTCCCTTAAGCATGTTTATGTTTACACTGCTTTAACATTTACTTTTAAAAGGATTAAAGGATCAAAATTCTGTTAACTTCAGAAAGTCCCATTTCCCAAGAACGTATTAAGCTAATAAAACAGGAACAGAATGCAGCAGTATAACTGCTTGCTACCTAATTTGAGGTATTTATTTCCAGATAATTTTGACAGGGATACCAGCATTCTGCAGGGTTTGGGACTCAGTGATGACGCTAAGCCAGTGGGAGATGGGACAATGCCGGAAAGGCAGAACCTGCAGCTGCCGGTCATGAAGCCGGCTTCCTGTTCAAGAGATACCAGGTCAGAGGTCTAGAAAACATCAACACATGGAAATCTGTACACTCCACGGCATGATATATATATATTTAAACCCCAAAGCACTGCCCATTTTTCCAAACACAAGCGATGCTTGACATTAGATGAATGACAAAACCTGTGCTCACCCTTGTGTGTTCCAATGACCTGGCCGTCTTCGATGGAAACAAAGTTACCTGGGCGTGGCTCCAAATACTGCAAGAAAAATGAATGTTTTTTAAACAGATCCATTATTTCATATGTATTTATAGATCACTCCTCCATGCAGAGTACTTGTAAATGTTACGGATCTGCGATTACTCACTTCAAGGAGGAACTTCTCAAAATTCCTTTTTCCGATGAAACAGATGCCCATGCTCTAAAATAAAACAAATGAATAAAATCATCATTTTAAAGAGATGGATATTTTGAAACTCTTGGTTAATGACACAGAATATGCTAGGAGCAAAAGAAAATGTAAGGCAAAAGCAACATCCTTTCATGAAGTACAAAGTACAAATTCTCCAGTCACCACCCCACTCCCACCCCAGAATATCCCTTTTTCTCTCTCTGAAGTCAACCGAGAGGCATCCAGTGCAGTTCTTTCCAACGGAGCTTCAAGGCTGTCGGGTCTTCGACCTCCTTTCAAATGCTGGAGTGCTCTCTCAGACCTCAGAGAGTTTTCTGAGCAATCCTGTGGTCTCTGGAATGCCCCCCTGGGGACCCTTAGTGCCCCCTCACTAATACAAGTAGTGCCACCAAGAAGAAAATAAAATGCCGTCTGGCTCCCATGAAAAAGAGCTGTTAAGGGGAGACGTTTCTTATATGTCTGCTATGGAAGATGGATTAATTAATTCCTTGCAGAATACTACAACTCCAAAATAGCTTGACAGTTCATTATATTTAGAAAGCAGTGACACAAAACCATGGCTGCTCTTATCACATTAATGGATTCACCCCTGAAACACTCCTCCACAAATTCTTTTATCAACTTCTGAGATGATTCACGTTCCTTACAATCAGGAAAAGTGCAATCAGGAAGGGCCGTTATTGGTCACCAATTCATCCAATGGCAAGAAGTTCAGAAAATATCCTTTTCCTGTTTGATTCTATCTTGCAACAGCTTCTTAGACACAGATTCAGTAGTTTGGCGGACCATTTAGTTTCAGATTGCTGACACATGTGACCCTGCTTCTACAAAGTGGTAGCATTAAAATTCTAATCATATCAGTGTCCCTAGAGGCTTGGTTTACATATTATTCTTCAATGTGTGGCTGGAAATGATGAAGGGTGTGTATACAGATGTACACACACATGCACACAGTTAAGGAACCGCTTCCGGCATGAACACAATACTGAACACTGAAGAATCTCAACTACAAGTGACTCACACAAACTGTTTCACAGGTCGGGGCCATGCAATCATTTTCAAACAAAATGTTCCTCTAGAGATAAATGAAGAACTATATTCAGGTGTTCTCCATATAGAAATAGGAAAGTACAAGAATTTTGTTCATGGTCACAAATCATACAAACATCTCCTGTTCACAATCCTAAATGCAAAACAGAATGTGATTCTCAGGTTTTTGCAATTTTCTAAACATGAGTTTGCAAATACATACAGTTATGCACACAAGGACAAATCCCTCCCAACAAAGCTGCATTGACATGTTTTAAGGAAAATGCACGTTTCCAAATAAGGAAAAAATAGTTTTTCAATTAGGTATTTTTCCCTACTTAGAAATGCACATTTTCCTGATCAGAAAGAAAACTAATAGGAATACATATTTAGGAACACAAACAAGGCAAAATAAAACTTTGGGGAACAATTCTAAGACCCTGAAAACACTGCAAGTTCACCCGGCCCTATGCAGAAGGTAAAACAGGTCAGACGAGGCTTACAAGCTCTACCCCCAATACCGAATCAAGCAGTGGCTGGCCCCTCTCGATGCAGGCTTTTCTGCTGCAATCATACATGGCAATGCTCACAGAACTTCTATGGAGAACTGAAGCGGGATAGTATTTTAAATGAAAAGCACAGAGCTCAGAATTTCTACTGCTTCACTCCGTGGCATCATGGTGGCACAAAAGCCATTGAGTGAGTACTGCTTGCCACAGTGAGCGCTTCCATGAATGGGACAGTAGGTGTTACCATGCCTCTTTTTTCTGCAGTACGTGGTGAAGGTGATGCTCTGCAGCAATCTTCTTCACAAATTCTTTTGTTAAATCTCCTAGAGGAAAAATAGTTCTCCGCAAGGCATCTTGAGATATCTGGCTGAGAAAGAATGTCTGGTCTTTGAAGTGATCAACTCCCTGCAGAAGTTTTACAGCTGTGAAGTGGGAAGGAAGAGTGATAAAAATGCCTTGCATTAAAACTTTAATTATTACGGATTTCAAATGTTACAGGAAAATATCCAATTGCATTACGAACAAAAATATGCATAATTTAAGCTATTAGAATGCCATATGAACTATTCTACAGTCAACATTCAAGAATTTTCAGCTAGAACTGCAATCTTTAGTCATTTTATTTATATCCAGCCTTTCTTCCTTTCAAGAAATTCAAGGCAACTTGAATTTTCCTCCTGCTCTCAATCTTATCCCCACAACAGCAACCCTGTGAGGTAGGTTGAGCTGAGAGTCTATGATTGGCCCAAAGTCACCCAGTTGGCTCCAAAGCTAAGTGGGGACCAAAACCTAGATCTCACAAGTCTCAGACCAGCACACTACACCACACTGGCTCTCAACTGGTGTGTTGACCAACCACAGTAAATATTCAGAACACAAATGTTAACTTTGGAGGAACACCCTTGGAATGCAATACACCTGCAACAAAATTTCATTATGAATTTTCCATAGCAAGATGGGTGCAGAACCAGCATCTCATGAGTCAGATGCTGCCTGTAGCATCTTCCTATCTGGCTTGCAGCCTTGCCCACAGCAGCTAGCCTTTTCAGGGACCAAAAAAAGCTTCTTTCGGTACCGATGAAAGTCAGTTTTAGAAGCCTAGGCTGTTTTTGTGATACTTTGGGCTGGAGGTTGGCAGTAGCTTGTCACCCAAGCTTCTCATTGTTACGTTTTCCACATTCATCCTAACTTTCACTTTAAAATGAAAGTTTAAACACTGAAAGTTAAAGGTGAAGAGGTGCTCCATTTGCTTCAGGAATTTGTCACTACAAAGCAACATGGCAAAACCATCTGCCATATATAAAAAAGCTAGGGCAAGGTGCAAGCAAGCCATCTTTGACTTAGGTGAAACTTGATGGCAAACAATCTGGCCCCAATGTCTTTTACAGTTGGCAGGACAACACAATAGCTTCTCCAAATGAAGGAAGATTAATTATCTCTTTGGCTTCCTCTTCCTAATTATAATATCTAAATATATTTTAGGAGCTTTTTTTACAGAGTATACAAACCACCTTTTATGGAGGAAAGGTCAAGATTATATAGGCTTCTCTGCCCACATCTCAAACAACTAAGTTATATTTTAAATGTGAGACCTAGTTTTAGGCGGTGTGCTACTTACCATTTCTTACTTCAAATCTATTTCTGAAGAGCCCTTGTGGTCTCTGTATGTACTTTTGCTGAAATACCTCATTATCTTCCAGGGATGTCCTTGCGTAGTGCCCGGTGGCAATGGCATCCGCTCCTGGTGCATGCATGCACACACAAATGTACATTAGTATACATTCTAAAGAAATATACTTAGAAAATGTTATCTCCTAAGGAAAGGGCTCGATATATCACATAACCTTCTTTGCTACCATGACACACCTACAGCACAACCATGTATATCCAGACAAGACAGAGGTCCTGTTGGTTGGCGGATAGGGCTTCGGGGAAGGTGAACTGAACCTAGTCCTGAATGGGGTTGCACTCCCTCTTAGGGACAAGGTCTGCAGCTTGGGAGTGCTCCTCGACCCAGAGCTTTCACTGGAAGCTCCGGTGACAGCAGTGGCGAGGAGCGCTTTCTTTCAGCTTCGGCTGATCCATCAGCTGCACCCCTACCTGGAGAACGACTGCCTGGTGACAGTGACACACGCGCTGTTGACTTCCCGCCTTGACTTCAGTAACGCGCTTTACGTGGGGCTTCCCTTGAAGACGGTCCGGATACTTCAATTGGTTCAGAATAGAGCTGCCAGGCTGCTGACGGGGACTGGGCGTTATGCTCACATGACTCCAGTTCTCCGTCAGCTTCACTGGCTTCCCATTGAAGTCCAGGCCCAATTCAAGGTGTTGGTGATGACCTATAAAGCCCTAAACGGCTTGGGTCCTGGTTACCTGAGGGAGCGCTTACGTCCATATGTGCCCGCCTGCCCCTTAAGATCAGCGGGAGAGGCCCTTCTCCAGGAACCCTCCGTGAAGGATATTAGGAGGGCAAGTACTCCGAGGAGGGCTTTCTCTGCAGTGGTGCCCAATCTATGGAATGCGCTCCCCAGAGAGGTCTGCCTGGCGCCGTCGTTATTTGTTTTTCGGCGCCTGGCGAAGACCTTTTTATTCAAACGTTATTTTAATTGTTAACATTATTTATTTATTTTATTCTTTGGCCAGGGCGACTTAATTTATACTGTTAAATTATATTGTTTTATAGGATGTTATTTATTTATGTTTGTGAGCCGCCCCGAGGCTTCGGTGAATGGGGTGGCATAGAAGTTCCCTAAATAAATAAATAAATAAATAAATAAAGTCCCCTCAGAAAGAAGTCCACTGACTTCAGTGTCACTTAACGCTCCAAAGTGAGTACATACAGGATCGCAGCTGCAATGCCTGAAAGCCAAGAGACCAGTCTTAAAGCCCTGAGCGATTCTTCACAGAACCCAAGGGAAATGCAAGCGGAAATGTGCATTACTTTCATACCCATTTGTTCCTCATCTTAATTTTTCAAATAGATTTCAGTTGCTTTAGCAGTTCTTTAAAAAATACATTGAAAATCACTTACCAAGGTTGTTCACAGCATATTGTAGGAAATAATTGAATTTGATGTATTTATTACATAAAATATCAGGATTAGGGGTCCTTCCCAGTTCATATTCCTTTAACAAGTAACTGTAAAAAAATAGAATGGTTATCACAATTTGGAAATTCACTGCCAGATCAGATGAGGTTTAAACTCAAATCCTACCCATGTGGCCTCAGTTACAATCCTAAATATTTTGCTATAAAGCCATCTCCAAAGCCCTTCAGAAAGCTGTCCAGGACATTTCAGCTAAGGACAATTAATCTGTCTCCTTTATCCCAGATACTGTTATACAACAGACCTCTGAATCTATGAAAACATCGGACACCTAGTTTCCTCAAAGCAATTTTACAAAGTTTCAGAAAACAATATGCTTTCTGACTGATAGACTTCCATGGTACTATAAACTAGAGATGGGGACTCTTTCAGGCAAAGGCCAAATCAATTTGGAGAATTTCTTGGGCAACTGTATTCTAATAGTAGGTTGGACCAAAGGCAAAGAAGGTGGAGCCAAAGACTGAGAGGAGTATTTTTTTTAAAAAGCGACTAACATATCATAGCTTACTGCTATAATCTGTTCATATCTAAGGTATTTTGACCTTTTAGAATGATGAGAAATTTCACAAAAGCCATGAAACTAGTAAATCAGCACAGGTTGGAGATGGGCCGTATGGAAAGGGGATGTGGGCATAGTCATTTTGGGAACCATGGAGGGCCAGATTTGCCCTTGGACCTGAGAAAAGTATGTGAAAGAGGAACTTATGTTTGTTTACAGTAGTCACTGTGGACATTGTGAAAACTTGCAGAGGAATTAAACATATTATTTTTTCTCAAAGTCCAGGGCTTTTTTTGTCATAGAACACACCAGAACGGTGTTCCAGCACCATTTTTTGACGGATTTTTCCACATGAATTTGAATCACCCTGTCGGGCGTAGCAGGTCGGCGGCAAAATCATTAAAATGGTGCATGCGGGCAGCTTGTGTGGCCGCGCTGGTTGTGATGGCACTGCTTGGCTTGTGACGCTGCTCAGCTTGTGATTGGTTGTGTGGTCGCGCACTGAGTGCTTACTGTGGGCGGCGACCATTATGTTTCATTACAGTGACTGACTACGTGCAAAAGGTAAACAATTTCTTTATTTTAAAAAAAGTTGGTGAATTGAAAATCTATTTTTAATTTTTAGTGTAAAAGTGTGACCCCAAATTTAAAAATGGAAAACATTACAAATTTTCAACCACCGGTCCTGCCAATAAAAAGGCCAGAATATTAAGAACTGAATATATAATATTTTTAATAAAAGATTAACAAGATGTGAGTTTCGGCACCTTTTTTTCTCAAAAAAAGCACTGTCAAAGTCAAATATAAACATTGGAAATTTTGAAGGGGGAAATGGGAAAACTTGTGGATCCTTTTTGGTTCTACAATGATCAATTATGTTATGGGAATTAAATTACAGAAAAAATAAGTTATAGAAACTTTTTGTCAACTGGTCCCAGAAAATGCTCTTGAGAGATCATATTGTAGAACTCCTCTAAGCAGGATAAGCACCAGGCAAACCCAAGTATACCACATTGATTTCCATGATGACTGTAAGGTGAGCAGGACATATAATAAAATGAAACATTGTTCCTTCCCACTTCATACCACTTCCGAGCCTAAAAAGAACCTTCCTTTTTGGTGACCACAAAGGTGATGGTCTCTGTTTGCTGCTAAAGTGGTAGAGGAGCATCTCACAATTCTGTAGGGATTCTAAAGTTCTCCCTAGCACACACAAACTAATCTGCTCTCAAAACATGGGCAGCTGGAACATCTATACAGTATGAGGAGCTGAATGGGGAAGAGAAGCATGTGTGCAGAAACGCTTTTGCAGATCTAAAGAGATAATCCAATGCATATTGAGTCAAAAAGAAATTTCTACAGAAGACGTTAGGCTTTTTAAGTCTAAACATTATGAACAGAATCACACCTTTTTAGGATCCCAGCCTCCTGTCCACAGTTGTGCAAAGCTTTCTGATTAAGGACACTCCTACCTAAACACATCATTCCAGTATTCTTTCACATAGGAAACCTGATGAAAAGGAATGTCGAGGATCCGACAAACTCTATAAGCATCTTCACACTCTCTGTCAGCAGAGCAAACTCCCTCTTCATCCACAAGATCCCAGTTCTTCATAAACACGCCAGTCACGTCATATCCTTGGAAGGGGGGAAAAAAACGGGATATACATGTAATAAATAAAATGCTACAGGGAACAAAGGATAATGGAAAGATAGTGGAAAGATAAGGGGACAGGGCAGGCTATGGAAGGCTATAAATGGAAAAACAAGGAGGCAACATTGGACATCTACTGGGGATTTGGACCATACTGTTGGCCTCATCCCTAATGTCCATGCTTCGCTGGGGGCATCTGAAGTGAAGAGAGCTTACGAAGAACGCTTACTAAGGAGTAAACCCCATTTAAAATGCTGGGACATACTTCAGGGGACGTGCAAACTGAGAGAGAATGAAGGGCTGGCAAAGAAAAGATGTGGAATCTCGCGTTAGCCACTAGCAGCAGTGCATTCTGACAAAACTACAATTCCCAGAGTACAACGCGACAACCCAATCACCAGCTGAAGGGGGTGTAAGGCTGCAAATCTGAATAGGCTTACTTAGGAACGAGGATCTGGGAAGTGAGAACGCCTTACATTCCATTAAATACGTACAAACCCTCACCTCTTTTAGATAAAAAAAGGAGAGGTACAAGAAAAGATGAACATAGAGAAGTTAGTTTGAGATCTACTGGCAAATCTCTAGTGATTGGCACTAGATCGGCAAAGCTGCAAGAAAAGGACTTTCTCCTGCCTGTCCTAAATGAGAGCACTGAAATAAGGAAAGTTTGGGGTGACCACGAAGGACCGTCAGCTCCATTCACTTTCGGCCCGCAAAATATCCCTGGGGAGCAGAATGCCATAATTTCTGTGATCTTGTGTCTTTTGCACCAGGTTGCGATTGGGAGATCTCGGCGATCTACTAAATGCATCCAAAGCAGATCTCGCAAGCTCGACTTCCTGCAGCCCCTGTGCAGTGACGCGCGCTCCGCGGTTAGGGCTCCAGAGCAACCACGGCACCTCTTCCTTCGCGTGTAGGAAAATAGTTCCGGGTACCGAAGGCGCCGGAGTGTCGCAGGAAGCATTCGGGGAAGCGAGGAGAGGGCTCCTGGCCACCGGTGAAGGCCGTCCTGGGCTCCACGGTTCACCCACCTCTCCTGCGCAGCAAGAGTGCGGCCACCGCGCTGTCCACCCCGCCGGAGAGGGCGCAGACCACGTGCCGGCGAGCGGCGCCCAGCATCTTCCCTGGTCCCTTCTTCTCGGCCGGCGCTGCGGCTCTTCGCCCGCGGCCCGCTGCGGGAAGGAGCGGGGCCTCCTCCGGCCGGAGCTGAGATCATAAAAGGGGTAGAAGCGACACGTTGCCTGCCTCCTTGCAGACCGGGGCCGAGCAACTGAGCCGCAACCTTTCCGGGCCTGGTACCCGCCCCGAACTGTTGGACTTCATTTCCCATCAGCCCTGGGTAGCACGGCCAATGGTCAGGAATGCGGGGAATAGTAGTCTGAAACTTCTGGAGGGCGCCTGTTTGAGGGACGCTGTGCGGACACCTGGAGCATTTAATCGGTCTTGTATTCCCGATATGATCCCTGATAAGTGACTTGGATTACAATTCCTAGCATGCTGGGAATGTGACATGAGGTATTCGCTGGTACCACCAAGTTGGGGGAAGGCAGGCCCATTGATCGCAGTGGGAGTTATGCTCGGGGAAGGACTCGTAGGATCCTTGAACATTAGTTTTGTTAAAGGGGTACGTTTTTCAAACAAAGTCAGTGTGCAAATCCTGCTTCGTCATCCCGGCGCATGTTCCCGAAGCGAATGCACACTGCACATGCTCAGTCACATGCTCCATGGTGGATTACAGGGTAGAGCACGCCCCCTGCATAGAAAGAACGGCCTTTTCCCTTTTTTCAAAGGGAAAAGGATTCCATACCCTATCATTACTGTCCTGTCTTAAGCACTCTGCTGTGAAGCTGGTTTTAATGTGCATGTGAATCCCATGTGTGACTGAACAATTAGTGATCATCACCACGGACAGAACTTCCATTGTAAACAACCAAATTAATAAATGAAACAGCTGCAAAACTTAAAAAGACACTAGCTTGTGGTTGTACATATTCAGTAAATATGTACAAAGTCCTCTGTTGAACTTTCACAAGTGATTTCCATCTCAAAGGCAAGCTTCCTAACAACCCTAAGCAGTGAATTGCGAATCCATACAAAAACTGTGTTAGAAAGGGATGGTATATTTGGATTATTTCATTATTCATTATATTTATGACCCATCTTTTTCATTTCAAGGAACTCAGGGTGGTTTACATTCTGCTGCTCCTCTCAATCCTATCCTCACAACAACCCTGTGAGGTAGGTTGGGCTGAGAGTCAGTGACTGGCCCAGCATCACCTAGCTGGCTCCAAGGCTGAACAGGAACTAGAACCCAGATCTGAGTCCAAGTCCCATGCTCTTAACCACTAAATATTACATTATACCACACCTTTTTCCCTCTTGCAGGGAACTCAAGGTGGTTTACCTTTCTATATTTCACTTTATTCCAGTTTCTTGTAACAGCTTAATGCAGTGTGAGAAAATGACTGGAACCAGAGATTCACTCGCTTTTATCATTTATCTATAGCTAGGTTATAATACATGATCATACACTTCATACATTTTATATTGCAGAATACTGTTTATTTGTATTTTAAAATGCATTATTGTTTGCTTTGTAAAGATTACACACTAATTCTGTAACTTCAAATGGAAAGCATCTCAGCTAATAGATATAACTTTTCTCTTTTAGAGTGTGAAAATGCATATTTTAGTTCAGGATACAAGATAAAATTCAGTCATTAAGTGCACCGTACAATGTGGCTGCCTGTATCCCTTGGAATTTGGATTGTGGGGCATCCAGTCGAGCGTGGGAGGAGCATTACTGTAAGGATGGCATTGGGGCTTCTTTCATAGTGCAAAAGATGGCCAATTTTAGCCATCTTGCCTTTTGCTCCTGCTTGTGAGCAGCAGCAGCCAAGGCAACTGAGATTCCTGGTACCCTGATGGCATCACTCCTCCCCTTCCCCCCTGGCACTTAGAACTTTGGGACTGCAGTAATGTGAAGAAAAAAATGCAGTGGTTGGAAGGGCACTCCAACCTCATGGCACATTTCCAAGGTGGAAACATTGATTTGGACCTATCCTGTGGCTGGCCACTAGCATCTCACAGCCATGGGATTGCACCACAAGGGAGTGGTCCCAGGGCCCCTAGGCACTATCCAAGGGGCCATAGAATACTCTGGATTTCCAGGGGCTGGGGACAAAGCTCAAACCACTCTTGTGGCCAGCACGTTAACAAGAGGGAGTAAAGGGGCCATGCCAGCGGACAGAAGAGGAACCTACAAAAGCCAGGGAATGACATATCCAGTGTCAGGTCTCCTTTCTAACCAGGCATCCAGCAGAAATGTGGAGCATGAGATTGCCTGAGCGTCTGCCACTCCTCCCACTTTGCATAAAATGACCATCGTCCCCCAGATGCAAAGCATGGCCATTTCAGTTGGATTGTGGTCTACATCTTCATGGCTAGCAAGGCATGGAAAGATCGGGATAAGTAAAACTGCCTTGTGTGGTTTTTAACAGGCATAATTATTCCACGCAGCCAAATGAGCAGGCTGTCAGGGGAGTGCGTGCTCTCTCCTGTATTGGCCTGCTACATTCCTATGAAAATATAGGCTCCTTTGAGGAGCTTATTTGAAAGTAGATCATGTACACATTGCTGAATCTCCTCCCCACGTATGGAAGCATAATTGACTTGCAGCCCTGCTTTTTAAGGTTCTGTCTCTCACTTGTTCTGTAAAAGGGTTTCTGCTGGCACTTGAGAACAACCCCTTGTACAGTGGCAACTCGGCTCACAAACACTTCAGTTAACAACCGAATCGGGTTGCAAACAGAAATTTCAGAAAAATTCTTCCTCAGGTTGTGAACTCTGTATCGGGTGGCAATTGCAATCGCGCTTGTCTTCCCTGCATGCGGTCATGCTGGGGGGTGGGGGGAGATGGCCACGATCGTGCCCGAATTCCCTGTGATTAAAAAAAATATTTACAGAACTGATTAACTTTATTTACATTGAACCTTATGGGGAAATTTGACTTGGCTCACAACCAATTTGGGTCGCAACCAGAGTAGTGGAACGGATTAAGTTCGTGAGCCAAGGTATCACTGTATTTGCATGTCATTCTCTGCACCCCATGAAGCCAAACCATAGGGATTATGGTAAAGGAAGCCTTTTAGGTCCAATAGTTTATTCCTGTGGATCGAACTGCTATTTCCATGAAAGTCAAGTTTATGCAATTGATAAAAAAATCCAATCCTGCATACTCCTTTCTACATTGGCTTGCATCTCATTGGTCCTACTTAACACACTGAAATTAATGGTTCTTAAATCAGACCAATATTGGATGTTCTCCAATGCTTATACTCATACGAACAAGACCTTCTTTTGTATCAAAGCTTCCCAACTTGTCCAGAATTTTGATTTATGAGCAATGTAGGCAGTGTTATAGAAGGCTTTGTTTTATGGGAAATTGAATGGTATAAACACTACAATATGACAGATTAATTCTGCTTCAAGTAACCTTTACAGAATACTGTCAGAGCATTCAACAGGCTACTCTGATAGTTATTTAGTCACAATCTGGAGTCCACAATGTTCAACAAATATTCACATTTCCAGTCTGCTGGATTTTATTTGTGGCTATCTTCTTCATCTAGAGTGGATCTTGCACAATATTATATGAACATGCATTATTAATATATAAAATCTATACTTTATTATAGTTTACGACATTAGAGAAACTTCTAGAATTTGTTTTGAACAATTTTACAATTCACTTGACTCTCCGTTGTATCAAAGGTTCACAGTTAAAGTTTCATGCAATTTCAAGTCTTTTTCCAGCCCACAGCCCAGTGAGACGTACTAGTTATCAAACATACAAAAATTCCAGTTTGAAAGGTAGTTCACAAGATCAGAACTTCAGAAGAGGAGAATCCAAGTTTTCTTTATTTCCTTCAGGACTCAGTCTGATGAGAGGAGAGCTCAAATCTATTAGCTAGACAAGAGAAAAGATGTCAGGATATGATTAACCCAATCTTTACACTCTTGGAGTATCAAGACCACATTTGCTATGACAGCATTTTTGTTTCTGTGAACAGGTCCCACACAGTCACATTAAATTCAAATATTTATATTTTAATAGCCTGCTAATACCAGACCTTCATCAGAGTCTGAATGAATGCTCTTCACCATCACATGCACTTTATGGTATTTGCATGTACTTTAAAAGTATGCCATCTGGTACTTGTACAGATGCTAAATCCAAATGATCCAAATGTACAAATGAAAACAGCTTTACAAACTTTTATCCTGCAGCCATCACACTTGCATGCGAGCAACATTCAGATCATATGCCTTACCAGTCCTGTAGTCTTCAGGACAGGAACTTTAGCTTCAGGAGTGTTAAAGAGATCAATTAGAGGTTTGTTTTCACATTCCTGGATTGCAACAGGTGTTTCATTTATTCCAATATCGATCAGTAAGCACTGAGAGAGAGAGAGAGAAAATACCATTTAAGAAGTTGCCTACTTATTTACTGTGCTTTATGAATGACAGTTTAAAAACCTGTAGAATTTTGACAGCCGCTAGTACAGCCATTCTTACCATCCTGAAAAACCAACGTATTTATATTTTGCTGCTCATGAAAAGCTCATTTGGGAGTCTCTTTAAGAGGCTCACCAGATGAAGAGCTGCCTAAATGCTTTTCTTAAAAGCTGCCCAAACTTGAATGCAAAATTGCCCAGTGATATTTGGAGGCAGGCACTGAAAACTGTCAGCATAGCTACTGTTCAAATGAATGTACCTTAAGCATTCTGAACCAGTTGGAAAGCTTTAATACCAAGCTGTCTTCAAGAGGTGCAATCTAGAAGCTTAAATAAACCCTCAAAGCCTTTGCTTTACTGAAACTCAGAAACAGCTACAAACTATGAAAAATGGCACTAGAGGGCAGCAGCACATCTGGTTTCATTTGAAAACAAGTAGCATTTGTAGCAGTAATTTCTGAAGATACTTCACATTTTTGACAAAGCATAGATAATTTATTTTATATATAACATTTCTATTCTGCCCAACAGTCTCACTCTCAGGGTGGTCCACAGGCTGGAGCTTACCTCTTTAGATGCTGTTTCTTCAGCTGATTTCTCTTTTAGAGAAAAGTCTGGTTCTTTTTCTACTGAAGGCTGCTCTGGTGAAAAATTAAGTGCAATTGGTACAACTTGCAGAGACGAGTCTTCCTCCGTAGAAGATGAGCTAGAAGTCATCTGGGTTTTTTTCTCCTTTACCCATTTTGAACTAGATAAGGACATGCATAAGAATTTTTAAAACAACTTAAAATAATTCAGGTGTAAATAATTAAGTGCCACCATAAGGAGTACATATTTTCAAAAGGGTATACAAGCTACAGTAAAAAACTGTTCCAAATTCTGCTTGACTCAGGGTTCACAGATTGAGGGGCAAATACATATTTTCAATACTATAATCTGAATTATAGACACATGTTTCAGCCATAGCAAGTTTTATGCATAGAAGGGGCTACTTCACCCAAGATTTAATTAAAAGATTGCAGAAAATATGCAACATCAATAAGGTGCCATTCAAAAGTCTGTGTCATCTGGGCTGATGGTGAGATTTCATAAAAATTCCTTTTAAGGCAACAGAAATCCAACTGCAGTGTCTCTCACAACTGCCTGAGCATTTTGGATTCTGGCCTAAGGTCACCCAGGCTCCCATTGTATGGCACTCAGAGGCTCTTGCCTGTATTGACTTTCCCTGAAATCATGGGTCAGCCCACTGCCCAGAGAAGAAGGGAATGTGAAGCTAGGCAAGCAAGAAAAGGCCAGGGTACTGCTAGCTTTTTAAGCCAACCATATTACCTAGCGGCTGCAGTCTTTTTAGAAGGCACACTGGAGACTTGGCACGGAGCTACAGGTCTGGGAGAAGATGTCAATCTGGACACAGTTTTGGGGGTCAACGTTGGAATTCCCGACATACGCCGACCAACGGGTGTAGGCAGTCCGGACTGCCTATTGCAGGCTGGAGTCCTTAAAGCAGCTTTTGCAGTAAAAATAGAATTCGACACTGTGCAGTCTTCTGATTGTTTGACGCGAGGGGTAAGCGCAACATTGCTAGAAGGTTACATAGCACGTTAGAAGTTTAGAACTGAAATTCTTATTCTAAAAGAGTGCTCAGATTACAATTAAAGGTACCCCAAACGCTTTTCTCTAATGCAGTCAAACAGCAAGCCACTCAGACTGCTGTGATAAGCATTAAACCAACTCAATTCATTTAACTTTATCCCAAATTTAGAACTGACTAAAACTCAAGTCATTGCACAATAGGTTAAGGGATGTGTTTTTCCGTGCAAGAAGATTGCCACAGAAGCAAATAAAATATCTTTTAAGAGAGGTACTTAAAGCAGTATTTAGAGCCCAAAGATGCACTTGACATCAACCAGTTATGGTTGGAATAATCTTTGGAGTAATGTCTGCATTGACAAATTTTACTTCCAGAGGCCAGGGCACCACAAGATGGGGTTGCTAAGCAGAAAGCTAATCAGATTTAAACAATGATTTGCCTATATGTGGGTTGCACACATTTCTATTTCTAAACTATTTCTCCGGCAACACAGAATTCTCAAACCCAAGCTTGCTACTCATGTGCAACTGAGGAGTTCCACATAAACTCCATTAGGACATAAAGACAACATTGTGGCATATAGATTACCAAGCACGCATTTGAACCAGCAATGGGACCCAGCCCATTCTTGCCAGCTGCAGCTCAAAAAATTTGCACCTACAAATGGGCTTGGGGAATTCATCCAGGACTGCTGAGGTCTCAAAGTGCCCCAAGAGACAAGCTTGTGGGAAGCTTTTCATAGTTACTACAGCATCTAGAAGTATGAAACCTCCTGGGACTTCTTGAATGGAAGGTGAGCAAATCTCCAAGCTGCCTTTATATTTCTACTTCCTGTGCCTAGAATTCAGTTCAAGAGCAGATGGATAGACACTTGCAAAGGGGGTCAGGTGGATATCACATAGAATATTACCTTCCAAACTCAAATGGTTGCAGTACTCTGGCGGCTACATTTCCTGAAAGTTTATCTATGGGGGAAAATGAGCAATTCCAGCAGTTAGATCAACCTTTCCCAGAATGAGAACATCAAAGCCCTCGATTCAGCCCTTCTCCACATTATACACAGCATAAAAAAATACCTATAAAAGCAGAGTAGGCACTTTACAGAAGACAAGGCATGCTAGTGTATTCTCACTGCTTCAGTAAGAGCAATGTCCTTACCTTCCTTCAAGACTGGAGGCACCGTTTTACTTTTGAGCATTGGACTTGAATATGATCTTGTGCTCCCTGTTATGCTTTTCCGTAACAGTTTCTGAAGATTCTGATCGGAGCCCTCTCTTGGAATACCACTGCCTGAAGTTTCAGATGTGCGAGTACCTTTATGCTTCGGTGAGCTGACAGGAGGACTTCCTTTAGTAGCCGCACCTGTAGATCTTTGATGCTTTCCAGATGCCTCAGAATGGGAAACTGTGGATAACGCTTTCATGGGTCTCACCACTGAACTCTTGCTTGTACTAGAGGAGAGCCGAGAACCCTTTGCAGGAGCTTTTGAAGCAACACCTGTTTGAGCAAGAAAATAAGTGAAATTTGTCTGTCTCTCATGTACTATCAATGCACCCAGTTCTTTACAGTATTCACAAAAGCAAAGTCCTTACTGCAAGAAGATTAAACTTTGAATTGAAGCCACTGGCCCTCCCACAAGATGAATAGGGAGATGTGCTTAGGCTTGTTTTCCGTTCACCTTAAGGACTGAGCAGTGAGTTTTGGGAAAGGGTTTGAAGCAGCAGAGAGGTGTTTGTAGAGACATCCGGGTATAAAGGAAAGTGTTCTCCCTAGCAGACTGCAGCTATTACAAGAGAGTGTGATCATCTAACGGCTTGGGACCTGGTCACCTAAAGGAGCACCTGCGTCCATACTTCCCCTCCCGCCCCCCGAGATCGGTGGTAGAGGCCCTTCTCCGGGAACCCTCCGTGAAAGATATTAGGAGGGTGAGTACCCGGAGGGCCTTCTCTGCGGTGGCGCCCCACTTATGGAATACGCTCCCGAGAGAGGTCTGCCTGGCGCCGCCGTCATTTGTTTTACAGCGCCAGGCCAAGACCTTTTTATTTAAACGTTATTTTAATTAATTGTTAATTTATTTATTGTTTTAACTTACTGCCTGGGTGTTTCTAGTTTTTATATATTTGTATTGTTATTTATTTGTTGGAAGCTGCCCCGAGACTTATGTGAATGGGGCGGCATATAAGAATCCCAAATAAGTAAACAAACTAACTATCCACTTTGGTCTACTGGTGCAGCAAGACGAGTGGTTAATGTCTGTTTACAGAGCCCAGAAATGCACACAGTTCTAACAGCAGCATTTTGAGGCCTCAGCATATTTGCCTTGGCATCCTTGAAAACTGTTTGAAAAAATATTGGATGATACATAAGTCAGAGGAGAATTTTGATACTGTTTAATCTAGTGAGCACAGATGTTAAATCAGACACCTATGTTTCAGATGTAACTGCACAGCTGATGCATTTTGGCCACTGTTCATGCATCAGAATATTTATGGCTTTCATCTTTATTTGTGGCTTTTTATGGTCCTATTAAAAGTGTAACCAGAGCAAACTACACGAAGATGCTTTCAAGAGTAGAGTGCTCTTACCCCTTAAAACTGCAAATTCCATAAACATGATCCTACTGGTCACTAACAGAAGAAGCTCTATATATATTATAGTCAGAGATACAATTCCACCATAAAGTGTCACAAATCAGGAGCTGCTAAAAATATAAATCCTAAGGTCTCTCATAGTGTGGTCATTTTGACATGACCTTAATTTCCAGAATATGCGCACAGTTCCTTATTTTTCACTGTTATCTCATATACTGTTCTGTCCTTCACAAACAGCTCAGTGTTTTCCCAGTCTGGTTTGATGATCTAAACCATGATTTAGATGGTTCTGGCAATTATCACGTTCATCTACTACCCCATTGTCCACGAGTAAAAGGAAGATAACAATCTTCCTTTCAATTTTGAAAAACACAAACTTCACATTACATGCTAATTCAGGAAACTGCCATTTGTTCTAACTAAAGTTAGTTCAAACTAACCAGGAGTAATCTAGGATTTGTTACCATTTCCTCTTTTAGGAGAGATGGACAAACTTGAATTCAAACTTGAGTTCATGCTGGAAAGAGAGGACGATGACGAAGACGTGTTTCTCCGCATGTGGACATTAGGTTTCAGTGGCCTCATATTTATCCCCAGCTGCAAAGATAGAGATAGATATTAGTTAAAAACATCCAGTTCCCTACATCATTCCCCTACTGATCAACTGGCATTCCTACTCACAATACATTTGTAAGATAAAGCTGCATTTCTAGCTTTAATGTTCCTGCAACCACATGTTGATGTTTTTCTTCAAATTTAAAGCTATTTATTTTGTTGTAGATCAGTCATTTCAAGCTTTCAATTTACCAGGGTATATTTTGGTTGAATATGCTCTTAGTACCTGCTCGCTCATGCCATTCCTCAGTGGCAAACAGAGCCCCTTTCATTCAACAGCGCGGGATCAGGCTGTTTCAGAGAAAATTCCATTACTCTAAGACAAGACGGGCTGCTCACAGCCTGCATGCTGCATGCACACACACAACTACTGAGAATTTGCCCCGGAAGCACCAACACCGCAGAAACATTGCTTGAGAGCAAAACCCTGCCCCTGCTAGAAGCAGGATTCTGCTGAAAACGAGGCACCTGCCCCCACAGGCCTCCTTTTCGCACAACAGCCCTGATTCTTTGCTCCTGCATTGATTTCAGCAGTAAATTCAGCAATTTACTGAATCGCTCCCCATAGGGAGGGGGGCAACATGAACCCCCCACCCAGGTCTGAGGTTTCACATTCCTATATCACTGGACTGTTAGTTAAGCCTATCCCTCTCCAGGAAGGAAGTAGAAAGGCTTCCTGGTAGGATAGCAAAATATAAGGTCCTGGTGACATCTGAAGTCAGCTAACAAGGAGGTAGAAGTTACACCTTGCTAGGAGTGGGAAGATTGCGCTTGTCTTGGACCAAAGAATTGCTACAGGAGGTCACGTCTCCTGCATCGGAAGCAATACTCGATCTGTCGGACAGAAGGTCTTCAGATGACCCCATACTGTTCAAATAATTCCTGCTGGAACTGCTATGTAGTTTCCCTTGTCTTAGCTGCAAGGAAAACAGAGAGAAACAAGAGCTTCAGGGTCTTTCGTTCATTCAATTAAGGCATCCTATCTGGCTGTAACCAACCTCTCCATTAAAGAGAATCAGATTAGCTTCTGAAAGTCACATCACCCACCAAGATAAAGAAGACCTTTAGCACTCTCAGAGCCCATTTATTCCTGCTCCCCCCAAAAGACACCACTTGATGAATCACAGCTGAATGCGCAAACAGCTGCAGCAGAGAAGCATTTCTTTTAAGGCCAAGTTCTGAACATGACTCTGTGAACCTGCCAGGGCTGGCGAGCTGGCCTCATGAGATGAACTCAGAACCTGGAATATGGGAGAGGCTGTTCCTAAGTATTCTAAGCTGGATGCATTAAGTGGTAACTAGTTTAACTGCTCTTTCTCCTGGAGACTGACCACATACCACTGACTTCTGCTTCTCTGTCCTAGTTCCCTTTCCTGCTGAAGGCAGAGCTCTCTTCCCGAGCTCATCCCATCCTGGCAGACCATGTGACATCTTGGCCTTGCAGTTTTAGACTGAGAGAGGACATTTGGAGAGATCTTGAAGATGTAGAAAGCGATGATCTGCAGCACCTTCAAGGTCTGCTGAAGTGAAGGGAAGGACACTGCAAGAGATCAGCTGGCTCATTACCAGAAAAGAGCTGGTAATAAGCCCCATCCCTGTTCAAGTCTCCCTCTGGTTCTCTTCCACTTTCTCTTAGCCCAGCATTTTCTAGCTTTCAAGGGCCATGTCCCCATCTCCACGGAGGACTTCCCCACCTACCCACCCAACCCCCAGTCAACCCCCTCTGGCTGGGGGCATTCCTACAGAAGCAGCAATAGACATTTAAGTGAGTAACAAAGTATATCATATCCTAACATGGGATTTAGGCCTATCAGTACTTAATATTAGTTATCAGCCACTTTTAGATTATTTAATAAAATGGAATATCAAATCAAGTATTTCATTTCTAAAGATTTAGCGTTCTGGATGCAAGCCAATGAACCTCAATAGTTGGGATTAGTGATTCTTTGTGAAATGCTGCAAACGGGGGAAAAACCTATTCTTTATAGAATCCTTTCCGCTTTAAGGTAGCTTAAAGGAAAAATAATCATTACCTGTCCTGCCGCTAAGCAATTGTTATTGCCAAATGCAGTTGATTTTCTTCCAGTCTGAAATACATTTGCTTTTTTGTCCCCCTTTCCTTGGGCTGAAGGAGTAGCTGGCATTTGTGGTCGTTTATTCACTACACCTGGGCTAGAAGTATTTTGAGGTGTTTGTGGAGAAGGACAGTTGCCCATTGCTGAGAAAGGATGCTTGGAATGTTTCTGAAGTAAAGGTGGGAGCTGGCAGACTGAGCTTTCAGATACACAATATGTCTCTCTCTTTATCTCCTTGGGAGTTTTATTTATCTCCAACCCTTTCTCAAGCATTTTCAGTTTTGACCTTGATTCTTGCACAAATTTTTCAACATTCTCAGTCTTTTTTTCTTCCAGGTAGCCAGCATTCTTTTTGATTTTGCTCCCACTTTGCAGCTGGAGGGCTACCAAGTGAGCTTCTTTGAAAATTTCCACAAATTTTTCTCCAGCGAGTGGGCTCCATGTGACTGTATCCGCACGTGAGGGTGTAAGTTTATCTTCAGGCTCTTTTGGGGAGTCAAGAGACACAGCAATGCACTTTTCTTTGTGACTTATTGGTCCCACAAACACTTCATCTTCATTTTCACTAGAATACAGATAACAAGCAAGTCAAACACCTGCAAATCTTTTGCTCTTTAATAATGGCTTTAATTCAGATAATCCATTTACCTTGTAGGAGACAGTGAAAGATCAAAGTCAAATTTTTCATCAGTAAGGAGGGGCAAGTCTGGAATTACAATGACACACTTTATTGCTAATACGATTATTAGTACTGACATTTTTCTGCCCTTAGCATTTTGCCATATTCCCCTTTGCCATGCTGAGATTTCAGCTTCTGCTGAGGATCTCTCTAACAAGAACTATTTTACTCTGTCAAAACAGATCACAGAAATAATCTCTAGCATATAGTCTCATCTTGAAAGGATGTGCTGTACCAAAGGTTTCCTTGTATAATTATCATCATCATCATCACCACCACCACCACCACCACCACCACCACATTAGATGCCTTTTTGGATCAGGTACTGTGTGCATAGACCTAATCATTCATCTCTACATCAAGTGGGAGCAAGGATAGGATGAGACTGGATCTATATTTTCCTCCTTTGCCCGTACAACAGGTAACTTGAACATCATAGAAAAGAAAAGACAATAGTGCAAAGGGAGAATATAATTTTTTTGGTTTTTTATTTTTTTTTTTTAGGAAGAGAGTAGAAGAAAGTGAACGAACGAGAGCAATGAGAACTATCAGAGGGAGTATACAACTTGGAATATAACTTGGAAAGAAGGAAGAATCACAAAATGTGGAAGAGAATGAGAAAGGGTCAGAGCGAGAGCGAAAACGGCACAATGAAAGGCAGTCGCAAAGACTGGAAAATGGCGGACACTCCGCTCCATATATACTGCTGGGGGGAGGGGAGCGGAGTTTTCCCGCCAAACTGTTAGCTATCGGTCTCCTGGCCATAGGCACTGCGCAGGCGCAGCACCCATTTGTGTGATGCACAGAGGCCACGACGAAGAACAGGAAGCTACCTCACACTGATTCCATTCATTGGTTCTTCTGGTCCAGCATTGTCTGTCACTGACTAGCAGTGACCTTCAAGGACAGCAGATGGTTTTTCCATGCCTACCTGAAAATGCTGGGGCTTTACCATGGAACCTTCTGCATGCAAGATGGGTGTTTTACCATGGAGCTTCAGCCCTTTTCTAAGCCATTGCCAAAGCTGATTCTACTGACCACCAGTGTGGTAAATTCACATGGGCAGATTGCTGCAAGTCACAATGTTTAGCTAGCGAGCTGGAACAGACTGTGCATTGGACTGTGTAGGACTGGCTTCCACAACTGGTGCCCTCCAGAGTTTTTGGGCTTCAGTTCCCATCAGCTTCATCCAGTATGGCTAACAGTAAAAATTGCTGGGAGTTGTCCATGATTTTACTACCTACCATTTTTCATGCACTGATTGGGTGTGGCTTCTGATTGCAAAATTATTTTTCCTTCTTCCATGGTATAACTGCAAGACAAGGACTAAAGTTAACTTGAAGTACAAGCAGCCATGTAGTCACCAAAGGTTTATCAAAAATCCAAACCAGCACCAATTACACTTCTTGCCAGTTCAAGGAGCTGCTGTGCTACATTTAGAAATCTTGTATATCCACATCAAACTCGGTAAGGATCCTTTCTCTCTAAATGGGATGGAAGACCAAGGAATACTCTGCATATACTGTAAAAAAAAACAATAACGGTGTGTTCGTGCTGAGCTATGAATGCACAAGATGGATTAGACAATATGGCGAAAAAGCAGTCCTGTTTTATTGGATATGCTTCATCATATTTCTCATCTCCAATTGTGGCAAATATAATCCAACTTCTATAGGCTAATTTATAGTGATGGGTGGGGGAAGCATAGTATAGGAAAAAGTATTGCACAGGTGGGCAAGTCAAACCCAATAAGTTAAGAAGTCAAGCAGAATAAAGATGGACTTCCCATAGTTTATTGTCTGAATCTCTTATTTCAGTCCAGAATTTTTGGATACCTTTGTGCATGCACATACATTGTGCAACTTGAACCCTCTCTCCCCAGCAAGTTTTGAATTAAGTTAGTGAAGGTCCTGCCATCGCTGAAGCCTTTGTTGCATTCAATACTAACACTACTATGCAACTTAAAAGTTGCTTTTCTGTCCAATAACAATATTTCCCCATTTTAATGCTTTTATGAAGATTGCATCGGACGTTCATTGCTGAGATTTGAGCCAAGCTTCACGAGCGAGCACTTTGCTCTCAAAAAAACATCCTCCCAGCATACGCAAACTGCATCTTCCTCATTAGTGAGGGAAACGCTGGTGAGAAGAGTGCAACCTGCAGGCAAGAGCCCGCTCGTTTCTTTGGTAGAGATCCAGTTATGTTCCTAGCTAAAATGATTTATAATAAATCCTTTCTATACACGCCTCTTCCAGTACATACAAAGCTTAGAACCTAAGATTTGCATGCACGAACGACATCCCGACACGCAACCCCAAACCGGATACCTTTCAGCGGATCCTCATGGACCATTCACACGTGCGCCAAACTCGCCTTGCCACTTGCCCCCCTCCAAGCGCCGATGACACTGAGATTCACCCTCCTCCCCAGGGGCGGTCGCTTAACTTCCCCCCTCAGGCCCTCCTGAGCGTCGCCCCAACAGCCGAGACGAAAAAAGCCCTTCAAACTACTGCCGCGATCCCATTTGAAAATGGAAGCTCCGCCTTCGTGAACCAGGCAGCTCCTTCTCATTGGAGAATTTAAATAACGCTCACAGTCTATAACCCTGCGAAGAATCCACTCTGCCCCCCATCCCGCTGTGGAGCATTGTGGGACTTGTAGTTTGTGGTTTCTTCCTTTCGCTGAGGAAACTCACCATAGAGACGTCAAAAATCTCTTTCGATTGAGTTCGGGAACTCTCAAGAGAAGGAGTCTTTGTTCGCCAGCTCATCCACAGCGTCCCCTGCTGGCACATTAACTGGTCGCCTAGGCTTAATTGAACTGTGATCCTGGCTTGTGAGATTGAAATAGGATGGTCCAATAGTTAAACTTAAAACGCCTTTTTTATTTTTTGAAGATCAGTGCAAAGGTGAGCTACCTTTCTACATTTTTTTCCAGGAAATGAGTAGATTTCTAATAGGGGAAAACTGACAAATATGGACATAAGGAATATGGATGCCAATATGGATTGTGTGCATTATGGATCCATTTAATGCATGCATGCACTATCTTTGTATCTCTTATTAGATTAGTATTTAAATAAAGTATCTTTTAAAAATCACTGCAATTAGATTAGTGGAGGTGAGAAGATCCCAGTCCCAGTGAACTGTTAATTATGGTACAAACCCATGCATTCTAGCAAAAGTACCCATGGTGCTTAGCTACCTAGGAAGTGTGTCAAACTTTCTTGCAGTAAAATCTCGAGCATGTTAACTCAGAAGTCCCATGAGCTCAAGAGGCCTTACTCCCTAATAAGTCTGTGAATACAGGACTGCAGCCAATTTCTGTCCACTACTTTGCAATGGCAAAGAACAGGTAGCAAGTATTTCAGAGGGAGCAGGAACTAATGAAAATAAAACAGCCAATTCACAGAGATATTATATAGAACTTACAACGAGAACTTAACACTCATGACTCTTAAATGCCAAGAAATCTTACCTCTGCCCTCATATTCAGGCTCAAACTATGATGACGACTGGGGAAAGCAAGTTTGCACAGTAGTGAATTAAATATATATTGAAAACAATGCTTAACAATAATAGCTTAACCATTATTTTCTGTTGCTATTTCCAGGATCCTCCGAACATATTTGCAATTTTATTTCACTCTGGGCTCACAAAAAGCTTTGCATGCAGTGTCTCAGTAAACATTATAAGGACTCTGTAGGTATTATTGTTATCTGAATATTACAGATGGTTAGGGATTGCTGCAGCTGAGTTTACAGCTTGTATCATAGCAGTGAGAGAGTTTATGGCTCCATAAGAAACTGGAGAACCAGTGGTCCATATTTGTTGCCACTGTGCTTAACCTGGCTCTAAGTCTAAGCCAGAATAAGAGCACAAGCTCTGTAGTGAGCCACCAAATCCACAGTCCATCATGTCCCATTTCATACAATTGCCCTGAGTAATAATATGAACGGAGATGCTCACATGAATATCATATCCATTTCATCTTGGGATCTTGGCTCTGTTCCAGGTAATCTTTGCAGTTTCTTATTGAGCTGAAAAATGACTCCTTTTGCACTCAAGACTGTCAAGAAAGAGGAGTGGAAGATGGATTGTTTTAATGAAAAATAATCATGGATAATCTCACTGAGTTTGAAATGTCATGGCTTTTTATATCTTGTGTGAACCATTAAGCATTTTCTCCCAACTTTGCAAGCCTAAAGTATACTTGTTACCCAGTCATGTATGCGCACATCACCCTGAGTCCATTGCACCAGCCCTCTCCTTCATGGTATTAAGTGAGGGAACAGTGTTTGTTTTTGCTGCAAATGTGTGCTGCAGAAATGCCAGAACATTTTGGAGCTGCTATTCTAAGTTTGCAGGAGCCAAGAAGAACCAGCTATGATAAAGGGCAGTATAATGGCCTTTGAATTCCTATTGGAAAGGAAGAAAAACTGTCCTTCAATAGTTTCTTTTACTTTGGCAATGGAAAGGCAAACCTGACATACATTTCTCCCCTGCCTCCCCAAAAAATATGAGCAGAAGTGCAGTGTTTCTTCCTGTTTTCTTCCTTTATCCAAGACGAGCCAGAACAGGTGAATTTTCATGCTGAAAGTGTAGCAGGCCTGTGTGGAGAATGAGGAAAGCAGGAAGGTGTGAAGGCGGGGCCGTGGGATGGTGCAAGGTCGGCTGGCAAAGCAGTGCTGCTGAGTTCTGTGGGAGGGTGGGAATAACAGAGCACGAGAGAGCACAAACTCACGAGAAGACCCACTCTGCCCTGTGTCGGCTAGGCCAGCCCCGTGTAGCTACTTCCGTACTCCTGGTTCAGCAACCATGTGGCAAAACGGAGGTGGAGTAGCACGTTTTACTCCATTGAATACATACTTGGTTATAGAATAGAGAGCCACTGAGATCAATTGACTTAATTCAGGATTAACTTAGGTCTCATTGATTTCAACAAGACTATTCCAAATATGACCAGGGCTGGATCCAAGTCAGTGAACATAACACCAAAAAAAAAAAAGAAAAAAATGTCTCATGGACTATTATTTTTCCCTAGGCTCAAAATTCACTTCCCACCATGTGGACTGTTAGAGCAACGGTTATCCTTTTTCTTGAGCTTGTCAGAGCCTGTGAAATAGAGTAGGAATCCGCACCCATATATTTTGGATGTACGCATGTATTTATGTGGATTTATGCCCATTTCAAATCCTACCACGTAGAAATTCTCCTTTTTGTTGCAGTATCTGTCAACTGGATTTTTGCCACCACAACAATTATATTCAGTGCTGGGATCTGAAAAACACATTCCACATTTGGACAGACGCTGCGTATGCCCTGCCCTATTCTAAAACGGTTAGAGCATTGTGAGCCAGAGCCTGTCTTGTCTGTGTTTTTGACCCATAAGATCTTGTCCTGGCTCATCTTCTTGCTCTGCATATTTCAGCCACAATGGACATGGTGTGCCTAGATCTTTCTCCGTACTGGTCAAACTCTATGCTGCTGTGATTTATGAAATCAAGAATTGGCAAGCTTATTTCTGGGACAAGGGAAAAGCAAGAAATAAAAGCTGATACCATTTAACTGCATCTTAGTTTTGGTCAGCCAAAGGAAGGGAATTTTGCCCATATATTTGTATCTACATACACTTACCCAGATGTACAAGCTTGCCTGCCCCTCCAGTTATAAGATGGGGTTGGCTCTCTTCCAGCTTTATAATTCAGTCTAATAGATTTCAGTAAGTGAACCTATCAGTGTGGGTGGGGTGCCCTAAGGCAGTGCCTCTTAAGACCTGTTCATGAAGGACAATGTTAATGTTTATCAGTCATGATGGCCTGGGCCAGCCCACTCTTGAAGCAGGACGAATCTGCCACTTCAGGCAGCAGATCCAGAAGTGTGGCGGATCACATGCCCCCAGGGGCTATGCATGCTTCTGCAGTTAGGATGAGGAATGGTGCAGGCAAGAGGCCTGGGGATGACTGCATAGTGCCTCCGGTATCAGAGACACAATGCCTCCGAATACTAATTGTTGGGAGGCACAAGGGGGAGGCTGTTCCTGTTTGCATGTCCTACTTGTAGGGTTCCCACAGTTGGCTGGTTGGCCGCTGTGTGAACAGACTTTTGGACCAGGTAGATTCCTGATCTGATCCAGTAGAGTTCTTCTTATGTTTCTGAGACCCTACAAAGACAGCTGTTAGCTGGTGTGGAAACACCGATGCATGTTTCAGCAGGAGCTAGAAGCACAAGAAAGCACAGGAGATGAGTGAAGATTATTCATCTTTCTTCTTTCCATTAGACAAGGGCGGAAAACAACAGAGCTATGTGCGTGTCGGAATTTGTCCGTGTTGGAACTGGGCTTGAAAATGTGGCAGAAAGTTGACTTTGCTCTTTGCAGGCTCTTTGAACTCCTGAGTCTCTTGCTAGCATGTAAGTGGGCTTACTGAAATCCATAACACTTTCTAATAAATATGTTTAGGATCACTGAGCTGAACACAGGGCACCAGCCATTTATG